GCAGGTAACACCACCCTTATGGCAGAAAGTGAAGAAGAACTAAAAAGCCTCTTGATGAAAGTGAAAGAAGAGAGTGAAAAAGTTGACTTAAAGGTCAAAATTCAGAAAACTAAGATCATGGCATCTGGTCCTGTCACTTCATGGGAAATAGATGGGGAAATAGTGTCAGACTTTATTTTTTGGGGCTCCAAAATCACTGCAGATGGTGATTGTAGCCATGAAATTAAAAGACGCTTACTCCTTGGAAGGAAAGTTATGACCAACCTAGACAGCATATTATAAAGCAGAGACATTACTTTGTCAACAAAGGTCCATCTAGTCAAGGCTATGGCTTTTCCAGTAGTCATGTATGGATGTGAGAGTTGGACTATAAAGAAAGCCGAGTGCCGAAGAATTGATGTTTTTGAACTGTGGTGTTGGAGAAGACACTTGAGAGTCCCTTGGACAGCAAAGAGATCCAACCAGTCCATCCTAAAGGAGGTCATTCCTGGGTGTTCACTGGAAGGACTGATGCTGAAACTGAAACTCCAATACTTTGGCCACCTGATGGGAAGAATTGACTCATTGGAAAAGACCCTGATGCTGGGAAAGATTGAAGGCAGGAGGAGAAGGGGACAACAGGGGATGAGATAGTTGGATGGCATCACTGACTCAATGGACATGAGTTTGTGTAGACTCTGGGAACTAGTGATGGACAGGGAGGCCTGGCATGCTGCGGTTCATGGGATCGCAAAGAGTCGGACACGACTGAGCAACTGAACTGAAACCACAGTATATAAGGAGTACAATCCTGGAAGGAATTTATGACTATCTGATTTTATTATGACTCAATGACTGTTAGTCTTAAAAAGGAACATAAGCTAAGTCAGTCTTTTTAGAGTACAAAGAAAGCCCTACAGTTGCAAATATTGACCATTCATAAAAGGCAACAGATTAAAACAAAATAGCAAAATATGATCATTTTTATTTAGTTTCAAAAACTACTATAGGTTTTGGTTTAATTAAAAATCTTGACAGGTAGTTCTCTGGTGGTCTAGTGGATATGGCTATATCCTCCCACTGCAGGGAGTATGGGTTTGATCTCTGGCTGGAGAACTAAGATCTTGCATGCTGTGCAGCTTGGCGAAAACAGAAAAAAACCTTTGACTCTTTATTGGATAAAATCTCATCTTTAATAATATAATATTATGCTACTGCCTTGACATAATGGGCTTCCCTGGTGGCTCAGACTGTAAAGAATTCACCTCTAATGCAGGAGGCCTCGTTTCAGTCCCTGGGTTGGGAAGAGCCCCTGGAGAAGGGAATGGCTACTCACTCCAGTATCCTGGCCTGGAGAATTCCATGGACAGAGGAGCCTGGTAGGCGTTGCAAAGAGTTGGACACAACTAAGCATGCACGCACACAGGTATAATAAAACTAGTTTTTAAAAACCACTGTGTCTCAAACTGAAGGTTTTGACATGCCATGATGTTCTGTCTTGTTTATGTTAAGGCACTGGGGATTTTGTGCCTTGATAAATTGTGTTTTTTACTTTACATAATTCAATGAAAAGATGATCATATTTTAAACCCTAGCCATAGGATTTCAAAATTTGTTTTTAGCAGAAAAATATACCTGAAATCATGGTGTTCAGTTAACCTGTGATGACAGACTTGAGTGAGCCGCCTTTTACTGCTGTAAATGACTGTGTCATAATTTGGTCACATAAATGCAGATTTCATTCAGTGGGAACTGTCTATAGTTTCCTTGCTTATATTTGATAACTCTCCTAGCCTATGATAGTTTTCTTGGGAAATGTAATACTCTGTGTTCCCAGTTTTCACTGAAATCTATTATAGAAAAATAATTTACCTTGAAAGTAGAACTCCTCTTTTGCATCAATAAAGGTACAGATATAATCCAGCAAATCAGATCTTATTTAAACATTAGTGTGCCATTTACAGAAAGTGTGGTTTCTCAGTCTGAAGAGCACTTTTAATCTGAAGCCAACAAAGAGATGAATAAGATGATCAGAAAGGTAACGTTATTTGCTCATGGGGCAATTAGAGTCCATAAAATCATCTGAATCAGATATAGCTCTGGGGTATGATTAGAAATTGGTTGGTGTCCAACCTATGACAGAAAGCTGACTTTAGCAGTGGACAGATGACTAGTTCTCAAGCTTTGTATGCCCACTGGGCAGTCACTTCTGGAATCCTTTTAGTACCCGTTAGAAATCTCTATCAACTTCTAAAGAAAAGGCTGTCTTATAATTGAACAAATTATTTTCCTAACTTAGAAGTGGAGAATATGTAACATTCGTTCAGTTGCAAAGTAGCAAGTAAGGAGAATTGATATGCATTAAAATTTATAAATACATAAACATATAAATAGGAAGACCTGTCCAACTCTTTTCTTAAAAAAAAGCTTTTTATTTTGTAATGGTGCATAGCCGATTAACAAAGTTGTGATAGTTTCAGGTAAACAGCGAAGAGATTCAGTCATATATATTCATATGGGATTTTCCAGGCAAGAATACTGGAGTGGGTTGCATTCCCTCTTCCAAGGGATCCTCGGCCGGCCCAGGGATCAAACCCACATCTCTTTTGTCTCCTGCATTGGCAGGCAGGTTCTTTACCACTAGCACCACTGGCGAAGCCCATATGTGTTTTCATTGTCCCCTAAACTCCCTTCCCATCCAGGCTGCCACATAACATTAAGCAGAGTTCCATGTGCTATGCAGCAGATCCTTGCTAGTTATCTATTTTAAGTATAGCAGCATCCACATGTCCATCCCAAATTCACTAAATATTCCTTCCCCCTAGTATTCCCCTGGCAACCATAAGTTTGTTCTCTAAGTCTGTGAGTCTCTCAGTTTTGTAAATAAGTTCATTTGTATGATTTCTTTTTAGATTCCACATATAAGGGATACCATATGATATTTCTCCTGTCTGACTGACTTCACTCAGTAAGACAATCTCTAGCTCCATTCGTGTTGCTGCAAATAGCATTATTTCACTCTCTTTTTGGCTGAGTAACATCTCATTGTGTACATGTACGACATCTTCTTTATCCATTCCTCTGTCAATGGACATTGAGGTTGTGTCCATGTCCTGGCTGTTGTACACAGTGCTGCAATGAATTTTGCAGTGCGTGTGTCCTTTGGATCATGTTTTTCTCCAGATGTATGCCCAGAAGTGGGATAGTAGGGTCATATGCTAGCTTTATTTTTAGTTTTTGAAGGAACCTCCATATTGTTTTCCATAGTGGCTGTACCTATCTACATTCCCTCATACAATTTGGAGGGTTCCCTTTTCTCCATACCGTCTCCAGCATCTATAGTTTGTGGATTTTTTGAGGATAGCTTTTCTGGCTGCTGTGAGATGATATCTCATTGTAGCTTTGATTTGCATTTCTCTAATAATTAGCGATATTGATCATCTTTTCATGTGCCTCTTGCCAATCTGTATGACTTCTTGGAAAAAATTCTATTTAGGTCTTCTGCCCATTTTTTGATTGGGTTGTTTGTTTTGATGCTGTTAAGCATCATGAGCTGTTTGTAAAATTTGAAGACTCTTTGTCAGTCACATCATTTGCAAATATTTTCTCCCAATCTGTGGGTTGCCTTTTCATTTTGTTTATTATTTCCTTTGATGAGCAGACGCTTTTGAGTGTAAGCAGGTCCCATTTGTTTATTTTTTCTTTCATTTCAATTATTCTGGGAAATGGATCAAGAGAGAAATTGCTGTGATTTATGTAGAGAGTGCTCTGCCTATCTTTTCCTCCAGGAGTTTTATAGTGTCTGGTCTCACATTTAGGCCTTTAATTCATTTTACCTTATTTTTGTGTACGGTGTTAAAGAATGATCTAATTTCACTTTTTTATGTGTAGCTATTTTTCCCAGCAGCATTTGTTGAAAAGATTGTCTTTCCAACATTGTATAGTCTTGCCTCCTTTGTCATAGATTAATTGACCATAGGTTTATGGGTTTATTTCTAGGTTTCTATCCTATTCCATTGATCTGTATTTCTATTTTTGTGCCAGTGCCATACTGTCCAACTCTTAAATGGTCAACCATACTTTAGTCATGTCATTTTGACTCTCCTCTACCAATGACAACCTCTGTCTTTATAGTGTCAAATCGGCCCAGAGTGAACCCTAGAGACCACGCCATCACTGCAATCCAAGAACATATGCAAATGATTAAAATTTCTTTACATGGAATGAGTTATTTAAATTGAAACATTAATATTTTCTATAAACAGCCAGAAACTTATTTTTATTTTTTTTCAAGAGGGTATTAAATCTTTTATTGATTACACATGATAATGGATGATACACAAGCTTCATTCCCATCTATAACTTTTATCTGGTACCATAATTAAATTTAGATACATTGCATAGGATGTGCCAAAAATCATTAATAACCAAAAAAAAAAAAAACCTCCATGACTTTGCATGGGTGACACTTTTAATGGTGAACTCCAGGTCACAACACAGTAACTGTCAGTTCAACTGCACCAAGGTTCTGAAGACAACAGCTTCTCTACCAAGCAGGCTGTAAATAAATTTCAAATGGAACCTGGCATCACCCTGAAGGAATTCTAACTTCACACTGTTGGGGTAGTTTACCAAAATGGCTTCAGAGTAGACTAACTTTACACAGCACATTAAAAAAAAAAAAGACATTTATTCAGCATCATGATCAGACTATTACATTTAGCAATCAACAGCATGGGTGCAAAAAAAAAAAAAAAAAACTACATTAAAACCCTTTGTTGGAATGCTTTACACTTTCCACAGAACAGAAACTAAAATAACCTGTTATACAATTAGTCACAGGTACAGTCCTCGAGTTTTTTGCCCATACACATGAGCATTGTCTAAAACATGTCTTCTCTGTAGCAGCGAGGCCCTGCCACCACTGTGCTTGGCTGAGTTCACACATCTCTTGTAACCTGTGGCTTCCCTGTCCCTTCTCCGGCTCTCCTCTCCTGCTCAGCTCTGTTTCCTGGCAGTGATTAAAACCCTCTGCCACTGCCATAGCTACTGCTGCTGGAGCCACCACAGCCACCTTGGTTTCGTGGTTTGGCAAAGTACTGGCCTCCACCACCATAGGGGCCAGAACCTCTGCCTCCGAAGTTTCCTCCTTTCATGGGTCCAAAATTTGAAGACTGATTGTTGTAACTGCCAAAATCATTGTAGCTTCCGCCTCCTCCAAAATTGCTTCCGTCATTACCAAATCCATTATACCCATCCCCACTGCCACCATATCCGCCACCACCACGGCTGCCACCAAAGCCACCTCGACCACTGAAGTTTCCTCCGCGACCAAAGTTGTCATTCCCACCAAAACCACCTCCATGACCGCCACCAAAGTTTCCAGAAGCACTTGGACCTCTCTGGCTGGATGAAGCACTAGCCATCTCTTGCTTAGACAGGGTTTTCTCACTTCACAGCTGTGGCCATTCACGGTGTGGCATTTCTGAATGGCAGTCTTGTCTACAGAGTCGTGCTCATCAAAGGCTACAAAAGCAAAGCCTCTCTTTTTGCCACTGCCTCGGTCAGGCATGATTTCAATTACTTCAATTTTCCTATATTGTTCAAAATAATCTCTCAGGTGATGTTCTTCAGTGTCTTCTTTAATGCCACCAACAAAAATCTTTTTCACAGTTAAGTGGGCACCAGGTCTTTGAGAATCTCGAGAGTGCCCTCTTTGGTTCCACAACTCCCGTCCAACTTGTGGGGCCTTGCATTCATGGCCGCATCCGCCTCCTCCACCGTGGCGTATGTGACAAACCCGAAGCCTCTGGAGCGCTTGGTGTTTGGCTCCCTCATTACCCCATAGTCTGTGAGCATTTCCCATTGCTCAAAATGGCTGCTCAGACTCTCATAGGTTGTTTCAAAGCTCAGTCCTCCGATGAAGAGCTTCTGCAGCTGTTCGGGCTCTTGGGGAGACTCTGATTTAGACATGACGGTAGTGGAGGTGGGGAAGTCTTCACTTTTTAGAATAATTTGTTTCTTAATACTTCCAGTAAGGCTTCAGGATAGATAATTTTATGATCATTATCAGGAAAAGCACAGTTGGTGAGCCATCCTCAGGTTTCTTCTTAAGCTTTAACTAAGATAAGATAACTTGGGTTGCTTCCATGTCCTGGCCACTGTAAATAGTGTTGCTATTTACAGGTGCGCGCATCTTTAGCATTAGTGTTTTGTTTTTTTTCCTGGATATGTACCCTGGAATGGGACTGCTGGATCACATCATAGCTCTATTTTTGGATTTTTTTGGAATTTCTCTATTGTTTTCCATACTGCCTACACTAATTTACACCCCCCACCAACAGGGTACAAGTGTATATGATGAACTATAACTTAGCCATAAAAAGGAGGAAAATTACCATTTATAGCAAAATGGATGAACATAGGGAATACTATGCTTAGTGAAATAAAGCAAAGATAAATACATATTGATATCACTTATATACAACTCTAAAATGTAATACAAATGAATGTGTATATAGAACAGAAACAGACGCACAGATACAGAAAACAAGCTTGTAGTTATCAAAGGAGAGAGGAAAAGGGGGTGGGATGAATGAGGGGTTTGGTATTATCCTATACAAATTACTAAAGATATAAAATAGGAAAGCAACAAAGTTATACTTTACATAGCACAAGGAATGGTACCCATTATCTCGTAATAATCTTTAATGGAATATCTGCAAAATACTGAATCACTATGTTGTACACCTGAAACTATCACAGTATTGTAAGTCAACTATACTTCAGTAAAAATATAAAGTAACATTTCAATTTTATTAAGAAAAGGATAGTTAAAGGGTTCACAGAAAAAAGCAGATTTCAACTTTATTTCTGTCACACAACAGAGCATTACAAACACTCCTGCACCCACACAAATTGTCTGCATCCTCAGCCTACTTTTCCATTGTTGAGCAATCACTGAATTATTGGGCCGGTCCAAACCTGCTCTTTCAGTATAGACTTGCCCTCAAATTGCTTTTAAATTGCTTTGAAAGATCTGGTAAAATTTTGAAGGTGCCAAGATTTGGATTAAAATGAAGTATAAGTTGGCTTCAAATTTTGTCCAACAGAACCAGTGAACAGGGTAATGCAAAAACAAATGGGGTACAGCAAGAATTCTGAGTACATCAGCCACCCTTGTGAATTGCTAAAAGGCTACACATTTTCACAGTGCAACTGGCTGCTGCAAGAAATGAGAGCACAGTAAAACAGGATATTTCCCTTTCAGATACTTTCAGAAAATATGCAGCTAATCCAGTTGAAATGATTAGTTTATGATGCAAATCAAAACACTCAATAGGATTCTTCCATATTGCAGTGTGTTTGTCCTTCCAAATGTCAAATAATTTCTTCTAGGTAGGTCCCTTTCTTTATCAAAAGATATTCTTCCCTCAGGAGAGGTTCACAAAAGAGAAATGATGTTTAATTGTCTGAGTTGTCCAGTACATATGCTCTACTATAGAGGAATATATCTTCAGACAATTGTTTTTAGCTATGTTTTTATTTTCAAAGATTTAATTACCCCATTGATAGTTACAAAAGCCCTTGTTTTTACATTTTTTCCTCCTTTCTGTTGACTCACTGTTCATAGTCTGTTCCCTCACCTCTGAGGGTGGTACAGAAGAGGAATATAATGTGGAAGGGGGGGCATTTCTATGATTGTTAGTAGCGCTGTTGTGTCTGGATGAAATAATCCATTTTACCATTGGTTACTGTTAAATGCTTAATCTTTTCCAGGCATCATGCTGATGATATGTGTCTGTTCTCTTTAGTCATTACACAGATCCATGCAAAGTGGGTACTGGTATACCAATTTTTAAAAATAAAAACAACTGAACATTATAAAGTTTACCTAACTTTACCAATGCCCACTGCTAGTAAGTGGCAAGTCCACATTTGACTAATTCTTAAGCCCTCATTTTCTCTAGCCTGGAACATTGTATCTTTGAGTATAATTAAATGGAATTTACTCATTGGGATTAAGTTGGAATATGATATTGGGGAAGCATGGCAAAGCCTTTGGAATCCATTGACTGGGTTTAAATCTCAGAACTTTATATCTGATGTCACTGAGCCTCTGTTTCCTAGTGGAGGTGAAAATACCTGACTTTATAGGATTGTTGAAATAACTAAAGGAGGTAAAAATTGATAGTACTCAACACAGATGTGGTGTTCAGTAATTTTGAGTGGAGTTTCTTTCCTCCCCATAAATTGTTTGACCATTTTTATTGAGTATGAAGTATTTTTCTAAGTGTGAAGAGCACACAGATGAATAAGAAGCCTTGAATTTTTTGTGCAGATGGAAGAAACTGAGTCTTTTAAAAAGTTTTAAATTTTTATTGGAGTATGATTGCTTTATAATGTGCTAGTTTCTATCAATACTATGTATCTATGACTAAAATTGATAACTGTGAGAAAGTCAGTCTTTTAGAGGATTGAGATACAAATATTTATAAGGTAACCTGAAAAGCACATGGGTTTTATATGAACCTAGGTGTAGTCAGGGAAGGTTTCCTAGATTAGATAATGTTTGAGCTGAACCTTAAAGAATTAACATTCCTAGGAGCGAACCAGGCTTGGAAAGATAAGAAAGGTATACCTTGCAGAAAGGAACGTGAGCGTTAAGGCATGGGGATGCAAAACAGTTTTACTGTTTTTGAATCCTAGAGTAAGAGATGGAGATAATGTTGGAGAGAGAGGCAGGGGTCATATGCTTTGAAGATCTTATGCATCCTGGTAAGCGTGTGCATGAATATTTTTGTTGGAAATGGGGAGGTATAGAAGTGTTATACTTGAAGTTTATGGGTCTCTCTGGCAGACTGATGTGTAGGATGGATTTGAGAGGAATGAAATGAGTAAGGGAGTTAGAATCTACTGCAGTGGTGTAGGCCAGTAGTAGAGAGGGTCCAGCTGGACCAGGGCCAACTGGAACAGGGGATAGAGAGGAGATGATGGATCTGAGAAATGCTTAGAAAGCAAATTTAATGGTTTTGGGAGATAAGAGAGAAAGGAGTTGAGAATGCTTGGTTCCTAATTTAGATCAATTGGAAGGATGGTAGGACTATAAACAGAGAAAATAAGGACTAATTTGTGTGTAGTGGAGATGAGTCACACAGATGTCCCTCCCTCAGGAGTACCTGTTACAGGATATGTAGTGACTGATAACTCCAGCCATAGCATCTTTGGCTCTGCCATGGCAAAGGGTCCCTGAGCTATCAGCCATTGCCTACTCACTGTAGTAGCTTCAGAGCTGGACTGTTCTTGTCTAGTATATGGCATTTCCACAGGTAATTTCTGCTCAAGGACGATCCATTGGTCTGGCCAGTACTTTCAGAACCACTCTGTGGTATGAGGTTCTTCCTACTCAATTCTTCCTCCACTCTTTCACAGTAGCAGACCTGCACCATAATCTGAGGGTCTTCCCACCAACTCTAGAGTTGCTAGATGTGTGTCTCTAGGTGTGTCTCCTGATAAAGCTCTTTCATCTCAAATCCCAATGTGGCATCTGCTTCTTGGAGGATCCAAATTGACATTAGGAGAATTTAGACATCAGTGGGGATGAAAGGGATGAAATGAGATCAGTAACAGAAATACTAAGTCTGATATGACAGAGAAATCTGGCTGGAAATCTTAGACATTTGGATAAGCAAGTTAGAAAATCGGACACAGAACCTGTAGAACTGGGGGTCTTCAGCATGCTGTAGTGGGTAGTCAAAACTGTGAGAGTAGAAGGAATCACTTGGGCGATAGAAATAATGTGAAAGCAGAAATATTTATATTCATGCAAATTAGGGTGCATTGGAGCACTCACACGGAGAAGGCAATGGCACCCCACTCCAGTACTCTTGCCTGGAAAATCCCATGGATGGAGGAGCCTGGTAGGCTGCAGTCCATGGGGTCGCTAAGAATCAGACACGACTGAGCGACTTCACTTTCGCTTTTCACTTTCACGCATTGGAGAAGGAAATGGCAACCTACTCCAGTGTTCTTGCCTGGAGAATCCCAGGGATGGGGGAGACTGGTGGGCTGACGTCTATGGGGTCGCACAGAGTCGGACACGACTGAAGTGACTTAGCTTAGCTTAGAGCACTCACAGTTCACCCTCATGACATCCATCCCTCCTTCTCCATTTCCTTCATCCTCTCTGAGCTCCCCGCTCTTTCCTATTGGACCTACTGCCTGTGCAAACCATCCCCTGAGACCACTTAGCACATCTAAGGCTCTTCACAGCCAGGATTAGCATGCATTCTAGTGTTAGCTGTGTCTCATCTCCCCATCTTTTTCAGAAAAGTGATAATTCTTAGTTCTGCTCTTGAGATCACTTCTCTGAGCCTCAAGTTCTAGGCCATTTGGGATCTGCTGCTGTTATCCTTGCAGACAGGTAAATGCCCCATACCTTGCCTTAGGGGGAAGCAGGTTTCTACTGTGAATGCTAGATTTTATTCCCCACTTCTTGGTTTTACTCTGTAGAGTTTCAACATTTTTAGTTTTGTTTTCACCCCATATGGGCAGAATTACCATCAGTGCACTTCTGGTGATGACTGTAGGTTGAGAACTAGTCATTTCTGGCAGGACACTTACTTCTATCTTTAGAGTTTCAGCTTCTCTGTAATCTCATACTTGGGGAGTCTCTTACAGTTCTCTCTGCAGGAGGCATGGCTCTCTGGCTCTCACTGTTGTCAGAAGGCCCTGGCATTCCAAGGAGTCTCATCTTGTCCAAGCAGCTCTAAATGTGCAGTGAATCCTGTAGCATTGCTTTGTTGGCATTCAGCACATGTCTGAATCCCCTTATCTTTGCTTCTGTCCTCCTGTTCATGGCATATTTCACCACAAAACTAAAATGTGGATTGGAATGCCCAGTGGGGGGATGGCATGGAAACATGCAGTGTCATCCTGTATGAACTTGTGAGACCAGCTTTCAGAATTTCACC